GGGCAAACAACATAGTGAACCAATCTTCTTGTTTGAGATGGACCGAGGAACAATGTCGTCCGATTTGCACCGCTTCAAAAATTTCAGTGCTTGGCGTGGTAAATATCCCAGCTTTCGCTTTTTCCACAGCTATGATGCCATTTCGAATATTTTCCAAATCCGTCTTGCCACGCAAGGATCCTCTTAACGCTTGTTCACCGAATACATTGAGTAGGACTTCAACATCCACTTGTGTTCCTATCACCTTCCGAAACTCTGCTTGATGCAGCTTCTGCAAAAGACAATGTTCACCTCCAAACACATCCGTGAAGAACACATGAATGAAAGATTTGAAGGAACTGACCATTCAGTAAGCCTCCTTTATGGTTGACATATTTGTGGGCGACTTTTGTAATGAAAAATCAGGTGATAGATTGAGTCCATTGAGGGGATTGAGCCATTGGTGGACAAGTTTAGAAGGTAATATGTAAGCAGACTTGGCCTATCGTTGTATACCGCAAAATGTTCAACTGCGCATGCAGATGTTCTATATCTGTACTTACTGCATTACAGCATTAACAGTTCGTGTAGAAATGCTATTTCTTTCTCCACGTGTAAGACGTTTTGCGGTAGAGAATGTTCCTTCAGATCGGCATTGCTCGATGGAATTACAAGGATGCATTTCAACATCTGTTAAAATGAGATAGAGACACTACAGTAAAAGTAGATAACTGACCAATTCCACCTCTCCGATCATATCCAGTTGTCTTCCAGAAATCAATCGTTGCTTGTAAAGTCTTTTGGATGTTTTGTCCGCTCGTACATCATGCGGCCATTCTCGCAGGCTGTTTACATTGCTATGTAAAGTAAAGTAGAAGGAAAGCAGAGGATCCTTGAGTTTAGGAATTGTACAATACTCTTCCAGCAGTGGTATGGACTTGCTGATTGAATCATTTCTAAGCCATGTATTGTAGTGGTCATTCTCATCGGTGTAGTCAGGGTGACCTTTGTTGACGAAAGTTGCACCTGGTGGTATCGTTCTTTCATCCGAGTAGCAGGCACGGTTCGCGGACTAGGATGCGAGCTGGTCAAAGTCGA